CCGTAATTGGGCCGAATTTCTGTATTTAAACTACGGACGTTCCGTAGTACTTGAGAACCCTGCACTTTCGATTCCACTCAGTGCATTTATGACTTTGCGGTGAATTTCAATGACGTCATCTTTGTCTCAGCGTATCAACGTCCCAGTGTATCAGCGTCTCAGTGTATCAGCGTCTCAGTGTATCAGCGTTTATAAGACAACGGAGATCGAAAAACAAATGACTTCAAAATTCGCTCAGAATCATCATATACTGTAAGCCCTCTCTCTCAGAGAGTGGGCTAAAAAGCTACACATTTGAGCCTGATATGTTATACACAATGTAGCTATACACATAATAAGGGTAAAGCTATGTATTTGAGGACATGTCATCCTCACAACTATCGGCTTACATATATTTATGTTAAAGCTACACATTTGAGGCTGATATGTTATACATAGCTATGCACATAATAAGGGTAGGGTAAAGCTATAAATTTGAGGACAACCTCACAACTACAGGTATATAGGGCAACTGTTAAAGCTACACATTTGAGGCTGATATGTTATGCATAGCTATACACATAACAAGGGTAAAGCTATATATTTGAGGACAACCTCACAACTATCGGCATACACATATTTATATTAAAGCTACACATTTGAGGCCGATACGTTATACATAGCTATACACATAATAAGGGTAAAGCTATGTATTTGAGGACATTCTCACAACTATCGGCTTACATATATGTATGTTAAAGCTACACATTTGAGGCTGATATGTTATACATAGCTATTAGGCCTACACATACTGTATTTATGTTTTGGCCCCCCCCCCTAATAATAATATTAATCAATAAAAAGTATGTGGCAACTTTTTTAATATATCTAAGCAAACCATAGTTTTAAAAATTTGAAATCATTTGTACTTTTCTTGGGAAAAACTCAAACGCATTTTGCTCATTTAGTCAAAACTATGATTTTGTTACTTAATTCCTTTTCTCAGAGCAGGGCAGTATATATTTCAGGACAACCTCATAACTATTAGGCCTACACATATTTATGTTAAAGCTACACATTTGAGGCAGATATGTTATACATAGCTACAGTATATACATAATAAGGGTAAAGCTATGTATTTGAGGACATCCTCACAACTATCGGCTTACACATATTTATATTAAAGCTACACATTTGAGGCTGATATGTTATACACAATGTAGCTATACACATAATAAGGGTATCTATTATAATTATTATTCTAAAAACATAAAACAAATTCCAAGGTATATAAAAAAATACAGGGGTATTAAGAAATTTTGTTTTTTTCTAAGTTGACAGAAAGTGTTTAAAAACAAAAAGTCACTTCCAAAAAAAAAAAATTACACGTGTACTGCTAAAAGTACCCAGCATGAAAGGGAGATACAGCAAATGAAAAACTAATGTGGGATCAAATCAGATTATTTAATCTGTTGAGTGAAAGAAACGAAAATTTAGTTAGATATAATTATTATAACAGTTTTTTTAATTGCTTCTATGAAGTCAACTTCATTATATAAGCTACTGTAATCAATGTCATTATTAAACCAATTTAACATTGACATCTATCCAATTCTCATGGCAATGGAAACGTTATATCCCAAAAGAATTATAAAATGAAACAAATATATTATGCAATACACCAAAAGCTGAGGCTTTAACGATATATTTGTTAACATAGGTGAAAGATTACTTAAAAATAAGGAACAAACTCATATAGTACCAACTGTACTTCTGTCAAAATAAGCAATGTTGCTCTATGTTTGTAAAACCATAGAGGTATTTATTTATCATTTTATACCTCCATGGTAAAACCTGTGTCAGAGACAGATATGAAGAAATATATTGATAAACTAAACATCATCAAATCTGCAGGACATTATGATATAGGTGCACAATATATATATATAAAACTCTATTCTGATATTCTTGCAAAAACTATCCCACATTATAAATGTTTCCCTGTTGACATGGTGTATTTCAATGCGAGCTAAAAATAGCAAAAAACACCTATTTGTAAAGGGAAACATAATAATATACAAAATTACACACCAAAATCAATGTTGCCTTGTCTCTCCATGATGAAGGAGTAATCTATGACCAAACATTATCATACTTGAATGTAGTAAAAATAATCAACGATGCACAGTTTAGATTCCATAAAATTTGTTTGACCAGTCATGAACGCTTACAATAGAAAATCTAACAGAGGCAATTGATGAAAAAATGTTTAGCATAGAGATTTTCTTAGATGTCGAAAGCACCAACACCATAGATTTTGGATTACTTTTGTTGTTTAGACATTTTCCTTAATTTCCTTTTTCGCTCAGCAACCACAAAATCCCTGATATTCTGCCAAGTGCGAGTATTCAATATGGGATTTTTTGTTTTCACTTCTTTACACGTTTGAATTTTTGGTGCCACGCCACTTACTATTGCATCCTTGAAATATTCAGTGACTACCGCCTTTTCATCACTGCTCCATGGCCGTCTAGGCACATACTTTCTCATTTTCTTCTCTGTTCATAAAAAGAAAAAAATTATTTAGGCCTATCAAAGCACATTATTTGAATTATTGTGATATCGTCTGATTAAATGTGTTTTAAAGGTATTGATTTTTTAATTGGTGTTTTTATATTTATAAAGACTGCAAAAGGAATGTTAAATTTATCAAAGCAACCATCATGTTGTACAACAAAGTGAATATTACTATATTGGGACATCTGCCATGCATTATTGACCATGACAATAATATGGGATGGAATAAATGTATCATTGACTAAAACAAAGAAAATTACAATGACAATAAATATGATTACGATTCTGAAATTCAAAATGGTATATATGAAACACTAAATAATTAAATTCTAAAATTTAAACAAACTTTTAATAGTTTTCTTGTTATCTTCTCCCTCAACATGTTCACAGGCAACAACATTGTCCTTACTAGTGTCCTCTTCCCCTTCACTACCTAAAAGTACAGAACAGTAGGGATATATTTAATATTTTCTTAAAACTAGATAACAATTTATTGCTAAACCCCAGAAACTTCGGAAAAAAGAAACTGAAAACCCCAACAAAACGACTTTATAATGATTGTATCATGCAGTGTAGGAGGTACAGTTTATGATATCCCCAAAAAAGATTAACCTTTTTGGAGGATTGCAGGGTTTAGCAAATTGCTAAACCCGTAAACCTCCAAAAACACACAGCATCTATCCAAACCTGTCAGTGTTGATTGTATCTTGTAGAGGACGTACTGAAAAAAGATTTCTTCTAAACGTTTACACAAACCTTGAATGGTTTTGTCATTACCTTCTCCCTCAACCTGATTACAGGCAACAACATTGTCCTTATCACTACCTAAACGCACATAACGGCATATTTAATATTTCTTCAAAACATAAAAATACACATTTCCAAATTATGTAGATTCATTATTTGATTAATATGGTTTTGATTGCAAACTTATTAAACAATTTGAGAGTATCATACAGAAATTTACTACTGTTATTTACTACAAATCCCAGGTTTGTGTGGCAAAACATCTTTTTACCAAATTTGTTATCCTTTGAGATAATAACACATATGTGAATCATTTTTAACTTTGAACTATGATTATATTAATGTAAAAATATTTCATATTAAACAATAAAATCTTTTGTTATACCTTGCTACAAATAATGTTTGGGGCATGTATATTTACTATGACAGCTCATGTGCAACCCAGGAAATTTAGGAGGGGAGGGGAGGAAGTGGCCATACTTGGACTCCTGCAACAAAAGCATATGGCTTAGAGCAACAGCAGTGCCAATTAAATGATATTTATATGCTCATGTATTCATCCGATTGTCCGATAATCACCCCACCCACCATGACTGTCATACGCGAAATATGCAAGAACATATATTAAGCACACATGTAGGGATGTTTAAAAAGTAAACTGAATGTATTATGTTTGGTATTATTTTTGGGGTTATTGTAAAATTTACAACAATAAACAATGTAAAACCTAACTTACTTGCATCCAGTGGTATTTCAATCTCATCTAATGACTTTCCTTTGAAATCACTAATTTCACCTTTCTCTATCAATATCAACAATTTTGAAACTTTTGCCAGTTGGAGAGTACACTCCGGTAGTATGTAAAATTCGCGGTAGACGCGAACGTCATGGCCCATATAAGTTGCAAGAAGATCCAGTTCAATTTCTTTCAAGCATAACAATTGCGACATTATTGCAATATGTTTTCTAAGTTTGGTCGATCGAATAGCATCAGGGTTTTTGGCACCACTTGCTTCTGCGAACTTTCTATAGCATTCGCTTATTTTGACTGGAAACACAGAGCCAAAATAAGGTCTAGCAAAGACGTACGGATTTTCCTTGGACACACCAGCATCTTCCCGTGTTTCATTAAGCAAATTGATGTCAAACACCATTTCTTTGGTTAATAATATAGGAACTGTTCTGCCCCTCTTCCCTCTCACTTCTATTCTCTGTAATTGCAGAACTAGGCCTTTCTCAACTTCAGTAAGGCTTTTGTAAATTTCCTGTGGAATTTCTCCTTCATCTTGGCAACCTTTCTTGTAATCATCAAGAAGCAATCGTTCTGTTTCGCCGCTGCGTCTTTTGTTGAATAAAGAGACGCGTGTTAGAGTTAAATGACAAAATTCCTGCCAATTTTTTGTTGAACAGGGATCTTCTCTAAGTGCCATCTCATTGTAAAGCCTGTTATCTTGAAGGTAATTTGCAAGGTTCTTGAGGTCTTCAGCTAAAGGAAGCAGATTTGGTCTGTTTCTCCTAGAGGATTGCAATGAGTGATGTGCCAAAACAGTTACTGTGTTTCTCCACTCTGATAATTTGACTTCTTTGAAATTCTTAACAGTCTCGTCGAGCTGCTTGTTGTTACTTATCATTGCTTCAGCTTCTATTTGACTTGCCACTTTATTTATCTCAAAACCAATGTTTCTGGCATATGACGGGATGCGATAACTGTTGGACTGACTGGAATACCCTGCCACATCCTTCACTGCAGCAACCACAGTATCAAACTTTTGTGGGTCAATGCAATCTCTGATTCCAATGATGGCCGGATCCTTAAGAGATGCAGCTGAAACTAGTTTGGCTAAATCACGCATTTTCTGAGATATTATAAGTGCATGATGTTCTTCTGGGTGACTTCTAAGCATCTGTGTGCCATATGCCAAAATATCGTCATCTCTTGTAACTACAGCTGTTATGCTATCGGACTGCATCCTTGACAAAACTTTCGTTCTAAGTGAGTCTGATACTGTTTGTGGATTCCTTTCAGGAATCATCATTTTTGCAGGTGACTGAACTCTTTGTTGCCTCTCTCTACCACATCGTTGTACACATGTCTTCTGGTGCTTTGGTAACCAAACTTTCTTAAAACTGCCATCGCAGAATTCACATGGAAGGTACTCCGAGGCCTCATCATCATTACTTGGTCGTTTCCTTGGAACAATTTTCCCTTCACCAGTCTCCCACACAGTGAAGTTGTGTTTGAGGTTACCTTTATTTCGAAGAAATGCTATCTTTTCTCGCCTTGCTCTAGATGATTTTGGAAGCGCCTCAACTTCAATGACCATTCTCTCTTGTTTGTGCCAAATTGACCAATGGCGAGCTACTTTAAAATCTGCCTTACCACAAAAAAAGCAATAGTCTTTGTTGGTCCACAACCTCTTGCCACACCTTCTCTTTGAAATTTGTACTTCCCTGTTTTTTTCTGAGATTTTATCCTTCTTGTGCTTTTTGTGTTTCTTATCTTTCTTGTGTTCATTAGCCTTCTTATGTTTCTTGTCTTTACTAGGCTTTGTGTGTATCTTATGTTTCTTGTGTTTTTTAGCCATCTCGTGTTTCTTGTCTTTAATAGTCTTCTTCAGACATTTACTTTTCTGGTACCCAGGTAAAAAGCATGTCTCCTGTTTTTTATTATCCTTATTTGAGTATTTCTTGTGTTTTTTATGTTTCTTGTGTTCTCCTGATGATTCTCCTTGCTGATGATTTGATTTGTTTTTGACCCCTGTATGTTGCTTCATTTGTAATATGGGGCTGGCATCAGATGTGTCAGAATAACATTCTGATGTGGATTCTGGAAGATACTCACTATTACTTGCATCAACCAAGCTAACATAACTGTCAGCATCATCATGATCACTTTCCAATGTCTTCCCAGATAAGATAAAATCATCAATCGGTTGTAGACAGTAGGTGGATATGCTATCCAAGAGCCAATCTATTGAAATAACAGGTACACTGTACTGCTTGTAGAGATCTATAAAACAAAATTAAAAAATCAAATTATTTACAAAATAACAGGAAAAACCAGAGATGGAGTCAAGTTTCCTGAAGCACCATGACACTCTGGATTAAGGGGGATTCTGAGGGAGTTGTGCCGGGCGGTCTACATATATAACACTGCATGCAACTTGTTCTCATGTTGTAGACTTACAACAACAAAACTTTTGGGAGGTACCACTTTAATTTATGATTCGGCCTAGAGCATTAGTGAATCAAAGGTTTTGTTGAAGTGTCATTTTTTAACCATTCTCCAAATAAATTAGAAATACTCCTTTTACAAGATTCAATAAAAGCGTAGCTCTTCCCCACAGTTTAAACAATTTCCATCACTCATATGACGTAGGTTGAATGATGGTTCATTAATTCCTAGTGAAAAGAGTACAATCATGTGATATGATAGTACTATTTTCTCCTGTCACACTGAGTCTAGGCCTAAAGTACATAATGTTGCTGTGTAATTTATGAACTGCAACCTCTTCGAAGAGAGAGCCTTTGACCGCCACAAATGGCTTTGATTGATCGATTTGAGCTGTTGATTGAAATAGGTCATTGAACTTTTGGTCTAGTCGAGAGCAAAAGTATTAAAAGAAAAATTAAGAAAATATGTATGAGGTACATAAAACTATGCTATAGATTCAGGAAACTGTGGAATCTATAGCCCCTCGGTGATGTGTAGTCCGTAATGTACTTTACTACCTTCCAGCGGGAAAATAGTAGGCTATGATCTGAACATCACCTGAAGTCAATAGATTTCACTGTTTCCCTGATGAGCAGTCAATATTTGTATAATATTTTGCATGGGATGGGAATTATATACAAATACTATATGCCTCCTACCATTGTAATAGTCTTGTTTGTTGTTTGAATAATTCTGTACTATGATGCATGACAGATGACCATATAAGAGAGGAAATATTGTCGGATGCTGAACAACGGTTGCACCACAAAGCTTCAGCAGTGATTCAATTTGATCTGTAGAAAGATGTTAAAAATACATATATTGTTTGAAATGTTTCTCAATCAATACTACATTTATTAAAGCTACAAAAATTCAGCAATCATTAATTTTTTTGTGAAGGTTTATCTTCTTATACTATGATGTGGAAGTTCCTGTGTACACCAACGATTCTGGTTAAGATAAATAAATTGAACTTCCTTAGACTAAATAATTAAAAACATTTTAAATTTTAAACAACATTCCATGAAAATACATAGATGGAAAATTGAATAAAAAAGGGCATCACTATTACTGTCTGTAACTTGTATTTCCTTTTTTGATTTTTGTTTTGTATGGTACACGTCTATACGCCCAAATTTATCAACTAAATGAACCAACCATACTGTGTACTGAAATTTTACAAATTGACAAATGTCTCTGGGCCGTAACGTAATGTTTTTTTCATCATAAAAATTGTGAAACCAAAAAGGTTCCTTCAAAAAATTCTTTGAAACAATACCTTTATTTAAACTAGAATATTCCCCCATATGGCATATTTCGTAACTGTGCATTAGAAGTGGGCTTTTCGACATTCTGGCCCTCTTTGGTCCATTGTGGTTTCTGCCACAGTCAACGTCACCCTGTACCTCAAAGCCTTCTTCTGGTAAGAGGTACCCAACCTTTAGACAAGCCTCTACCCCTGAAGGAGAGAATATTAAATATCAACCACCAAATGTACAATATGTATATTTGCAATGTTACATTAAACATTTATTTTCCATATTAAACTGTAGACTGGTGCAAACCAAATATTACCAGTCACAGATGAAGTAAGCCAACAGGTCAACAATTATTAGTATAAGACCCTACCAGGAAGATCAAGATCTGCAATTTTGATCCAAAAAATTTTGAGCTTAAGTAAAACATACATGTGTAGGAGACAATCCACAGCCTTGCTGATATTCCTTTTAAGTATTTCAATGTTCTACAACATACTAGTTCAGCATCTAAAAAACAAAACACAACAATCTTTTACATTCATGTTTATTTTATTGACTAAAGCTAGCTTTTACTCAGTGACTACATTTATTTATATTATTTTTCCTAGCCAGAGACAAAAGATCAAACAGAACAAAATTAGGAATGGAAATAAATATTTTTATAGACCTACAAATATTTTAATAATTAGCAATCATCAAAAAGCATTAGTTGCTGCCGGAGTTTTCAAACTCATTAAATACCATACTCGCGCGAATAAGCGTCCCGTTTGAATAAGCGCCCCTCTCGAATAACCGCCCCTCCTAATTTGAAAATTTCCTTAAGCGCCCTGTTTGAATAAGCGCCCCCTTCTAATTTGAATAAGCGCCCCCTTATAAGATTTTCTTTTTAGCAAGTCAATATTCCAATCAATCCTGGGACTGTGGTTGTTGGCATGATTTGAGCTGTAGAGTGGAAACACATTCTTTTCAGTCATTATCAAAATAAGGATATTTCTCTTGAACAGATGAGAGCTCCGATTCCTGGACAGATGAGAGCTGCGATCCCTGGACAGACAGTATATTTCCAACTTTAATCTTTTTTACATATTTGTCTATGTCTAGTCCTACTTCCTCTTTTTCTTTTTTCGACCTTAAGCACATTCTCATCTGAGTTTTCAAGAAAAATACAATGATTCTGCCATCCTGCTAATCTCAATCGGCCGATGGCAAACAAGCTAACCACTACCCCCCACTAATTGCATCTGTTATTTTGCTGTAAATATTCATGCATTCTTGTTATGAGCCATGTTCTCTGGACGATTATCTTTTCTAACCACCATTCGTAATGTCCTTATATACTGTAGTCCTAATCTTTTTTCTTCATTCAAAAAATGCCTCTTGAATTTTTAATTATTAAAATAATTTCCCATAAGAACCCATCGATTTTCATCTATTTTCCATAAGCGCCCCCTTAATTTCCACTCTGTTTTCATAAGCGCCCCGTTTGAATAAGCGCCCCTCAGAAAGTGCAAAAAAATATTTTAAGCGCCTGGGCGCTTATTCGCGCGAGTACGGTATCTGTGTAATTATACTTTTTAGTTCAATTAGAATCAAATTTCAGAGAACATTTTTAAAAACTTCAATACTTTAAACATTTTGTAACAAATAAAATGTTTTTTTATTCCAACTCACCTGTCTTAATGATAACATGTGTTGTATTCTGAGTATGAAATATACTAGAAAATTGACAACCAGTTAATTTAGCAAGTCGGTCAACTTCCAACTGAAAACAAGTCCAATAATACATCATATAAAAATTTATTTCAGTACAATAATAACAATTCAGTTTTCAGTTTGCAGCCTTCTTCAAAAATTAAATCATGACACCAATTTGCAATTTTAAAAGGTGATTTTTATGAATTTCAGACTAAAAAAATATTTTAAAGTAGCTGGTTGTAAAATGTGATGCAACAAATAGTTAATAAATAAGTATTGAAAAAATATGTGGCATAATATAAATATAACTTACTACAGAATTTCAATTAATTTCAATATTACATTAATAAAATGTTACTATATTAAACTACTGTAGTATTGTTAATAAATAAATCAGTTTCAGCTGTTCAATTGCCATCTAGTGTTTCCATGGGCTCTTCTCTTTGAGATTTTTTTATGGTCATTGGTATTATACAGTTTTGACATTAATTTATTATAACATAATACTACAGATGGTAATAAATATATGGTTATCAGGATTCTAACAAGAGATATCAAACAGTTCGTGCAGATTCTCTGATTACAGAGTTATGAGTAATTTGCTTGGCAATTTATCATTCATGGCTGGAAGCAGACTACCAAAGTGTACAAGGGCCTTTATCTAAATGGCAGTTAAAAAATCTTGCACCCTTACTAGTTCTCGCCTGTCCAATCCTGTAGCAATAAAGACTTTAGGATTTATTCTTTCTGTTAGGGGTGGATTAGGAAGAGGCAACATTGGAGACATACGTATTTGCTCATCACAGTCCACAAGTTTGTTGATGATAATTTCATTCTCTTGCTGACCTACAGTACAAAATATTGGTTGGCATGAATAATAACTTATTAAAGGGCATAATGAAATGGGGGTTTTTTGAAGCTGTGTTATTTGTTATTGGAACTGTGTGTAAAGTACCATCATTTGTAGTACTACTGTAAGCTGTATATTATAGTGTATCAGGCTGTGTTCACAGTACTACAGGAATGCCTTTTACACCTAAAATCATGAAAAGTCTCATTGGAATGCAAATTCATTGATATATAATACTAGTACATTAATTATATACTAATGTAGCTTAATAATTAATTAAATTTAAACAATTAACAGTTAAAAAATGAGAAAACAGGGCAGTATTTACCTTTTGAAAGGGATGGGGGTGGGCTCTCAGGAGATGTTGCCACCTGCTTGTCACCATCTTCAAATCCATTTGGGGGAGGGGATGGTTTCCTGGGTACCTGCTCCTCGTTATCTTCACATTCATTAGGATGTGATGGCATTATTGGTAATGTTCCTACCTGCTCATCACTATCTTCAGATTCATTAGGGGAAGGGGAAGATGTCCTTGGTGATGTTGCAACCTGCTCCTCACTATCCTCACATTCATTAGGAGGGGATGGCGTCCTTGGTAACGTCCCTACCTGCTCATCACTATCTTCAGATTCATTAGGGGAAGGGGATGGTGTTCTTGGAGATTTTGCTCCTTGGTTGTCACTATCTTCGCATTCATTAGTGGGAGGGGATGGTGTCCTTGGCGGTGTTGCTACTTGCTTGTCACTATCTTCACATTCATTAGGAAGAGGGTGTGGCATCCTTGGTGATGTTGCTACTTGCTTGTCACTATCTTCACATTCATTAAAGGTAGGGAGTGGTGTCCTTGACAATACTGCTACCTGCTCCTCACTATCTTCACCTTCAGTGTTCTTATTTTCATCTCCTTGCTGACCTACAACATTGATAGTGCAAGTGAAAATAATGTACAGTACTACCAAAAATATCCCATTGGAAGGATATGAATTTATAATGTTAATAAATAGGTATACTTACTCAGTTCTATCCCCCATTTAATATCAGTAATGAAGCACTTCAGCATTATAGGTTTCCGTTTCAGAGTTTCTGAAAAAAATAACAGACTATGTAAATGTTTATCTTTGCACAATATTTCATGAAGTTGTAAAAAAAACCCTATGTAGCATGCAGTTGGAACATGTAACAAAAACTTCAAAATCAATATAAAGCAAAACAAAAATGTTAATGTTATAGGGAAAAAAATTAAATATGAATAGATGCAAAATTGGAATAGAAACAGAACACAATTCTAAAATTTGGGCCAGCTTTAATTAATTTACATTGTCTAGTACTGTACAACCAATTAGGGCAATTTTCTTAATACTAAGAAAATGTTCCTCTGTTGTGATGTATGGAATTAACAGTCTAATATTTGTATAAACAGCAAACGTTTCTAATTAATGAAAGCTGACTTATTTCTGATTTCTAAATATCAAATTTACTTATGCTTTTCTTCTTCTACTTTACAAGTTCATTTCTAAATGGAAGTAAATGTATCAACTTGACAGAAAACCTGCAAAATTAAAAATTATCCATTCACATTACTCTCTATCCAGCAATACAAATGGATACCTGGTAGGACTCTTAAGTTTGGTCTATAAAATAAATTATTTGGCAAAAGTCTTGTTAATCTACAAATAAAACAACTTCCATACAAAATATCTGCTAGAATTATTAAATTAAATCCCAGAGAACCTAGGACTTATTTACTTCCCCGCACCTGGGTACACAGGGTTACCATACAGTATTTATTTTGTTTATTATTTATCATAGTTCTGTAAACGTATGATTGACCATGGCACGATTGTCGATAACTACCTTTCAGTTGCCATAATATTAAACAGACATTGTGGATGGTTTAGATAAGACATGTGGAAAAATTATAAACAGGGCCCTAATAATTATAAATGTGAAAGTCGCTTCATAGATTATCAGTCTTTAACAAAATGTAAAAGGCACATTTAAAAAAAATAAAAGAAACAACACTTACTCTGCATCATCTGCATAACAGATAACTTGTACCGATGACGCCAATGGTGGCCATTCCAATACTTGCACAGGCCACATCATGGACAATGGTATGCCTGGCAATCGAGCCCAATAGATAGATATCTCCTGGATGAATTCAAATTTAAATTATTATTATTATTGTTATTATTATTATTATTATTATTATTATTATTATTATTGTTATTGTTATTATTATTATTCACTATCTGAGCTATTATTAATTACCTAACAGTAGATTACTGTACATATTACTAATAATGAAAACAAAATAATTAAAAGACAAGATTTGAACTCGTCACTGAGACAAGTTTGGTGATCCTCCGTACTTTGACCCTCACGAAGCACGTGCGGTTCTGATTGAAAAGTATTATATGCTAAAACATGCTCTATTTAATTTTTAAAAAGAGTAATTTTGAACATTTTAAGGACTTACGAATGTGTACACATACGTCTTCACGTCTGTGCACATCGTACTGTTATTAATACAGTGTCACAAAACCAAAACATGTAACCAAAACGTAATTTCCAGCTTCAGTAAGTGCTGTGGTCGTGGTAATGAGCGTACGGCGCGTAAATTATGGAAAGTTTTGGAATATTCAAAATGACCTGAAACGTGCTTTAAATTATCTGAAAAGTGATATTAACAATTTTAAAATTTTAACGCACAAGTACGAATACCTTATACGACATGCCTGATGACGGTAATGGCACATGAATTTAAACCTTGTCAAGTTTAATTTAAAACCCCCTGTTGGTAGGTAATACCACACAAATTTTCCCTTTACAGTACGAACTATCGGTTTGACAGTGTCGAAATACAGTCTGCCGATGAGAAGGCTCCAAAAAAAGCATTCTTTTTGACCATGATGACATCATCAAAATGAAAAAAAAAGGGACACGTCTGAAAGAGAATTGATTTAGCTATAACATACTCACAGGTGGGAGACAATCAATCAAGATAAGCGAGATATGTTCAAACAAGTATAAAAAGTAATAACGTCATAAATAAAAATTCAGTTTTTTCTTAATTCAAATGGCAATACGATGACGTCAGAATGTCCGATCAGCCAATACGATCTATAAAATCGTATCTACAACTCATGTGCTTTCAGAATATGTAATAAAAATTGCAGGTCACCTTTCATCCTAAGGAGCTATAACTGATTAAAAATAACGTTTTGAGGAAAGAAAGATGTGGGGGGGGGGGGTAAAAAAAACCCAGGTTGAAAGATGTGGGGGTCAGAAAAAACAGGTTTTTTGACAATGATGACGTCATCAAAATGTAAAAAGAAGTCAAATATATGAAAGAGAATTGTCTCAGCTATAACATACTCAAAGTTGGAAGACGATCGATCAAGGATAAGCGAGATACGCTCAAATGCGTATTTTAAA